TATCTCAGATTCTCCAGCATCTGCAGTTCCTACTAGCTCTAGACAATTGGGTTGTGCTGCTCTTGCTTGCCCTCTAGTGGTTGCTTGCAGTGTTGCAATAACATATCTGGATGTTTGGTTGGCTTATCTTCAGTTGGGAAGTGATGCATGGTGAAGGAGGGGAGAGAAGTTAAAAGAAAAACAAACTTCAAGGGGAAGAAAGAGAAACTGTAAATTTAGTAGCAGTTGGACAGTAAATTTTGCCACAGCTCCCAATGGTTACGCATTTGTATGACAGCAGTATTTCCCAAATGCAATACCAGTGAGAACAAAAACAGAAGTAGCTGGAAAAGCTCAGTAGGCCTGGCAGCATCTGTAAAGGAAAAGATCAGAGTTAACGTTTCGCGTCCGGTGACCCTTCCAAGATTTAACTGATTTTTTTACTTCACAGATGCTGCCAGACCTGCTGAGCTTTTCCAGCTACTTCTGTTTTTGTTCCTAATTTACAGCATCCGCAGTCCTTTTGGATTTTATTTAGCAATACCAGTGAGGATGGAATTGAGAACAAAATCACACATTTATGCATGATTGCTGGTAGGAGCCCCCCTCCTCTTTTGCCTATTGTAGGAAGAAGCCGAACTGAAGATCAATCTGCCAATGTATCGTCAACTCCCATTCAACATGCATTGTTATTTGATTTTGTTTCATGGCAACTAATCCATGGAAAAGGGAAACATCGGAAATTACCTGTCTGACTCCAAATTCTACAGTGATTTGGCACTTGTTACCATGTTATAATCACGGGAGTTTCCTAATGGATAAGAGGCAAGAAGATAGAATAATTTTACCAATCCAGTCACTCAAGACGAATGACTGTGTAAAGTGAAAATAAATTCAAGAAACAGAAAAGTATATTTAAAAATATCACGGAAGTTTGCCTTCCATGAGAACCATCATAAATATCATTTATAATCCGTTCTTCATAAAATTTCTATGTGACATGGTTTTCCCCTGATTCAGACTCGCAATATTTTATAGCTATCAAAAGGTACTGTTCCCACCTGGAATATAATATCTTGTGTTTGTTGTATGGACTAATGTGAGGCTAATAATTTTGAATGCATTCCATTAAGCCTCTTGATCAGTAAAGTGTCATCTGTGATGAACCTTCGGAATTTTGGTGATTCAGGGAGATAGAATGCATGTTGCTGATAGAATGGTTTGGTATCTATTTGGGAACGTTCAGACAGATTCCAGCTGCTTTTTAGATTGCCTGAAAGATGACCTGTCAAGCCTGTTGTCATTTATGCTACTTCCCTGTCAGATGGCACAGTCCAGCTGAATTGTAAAATAAAATCAGCGCATTGGATGCTTTTAGATTGACAATGTGCCTGGCTGCTGTATTGCCTGCAGATGTTTATGATCCTAACAAAGGGATTGTACCTATCCCTTTTGGAAGGCTCCCTTCAGTTAAACTGTACTATCGTTGTTTGGAAGGTATTAGTAATATGCACCTTCTGACTGACCAGCTCAGAACTGCCATGGTTAAACATGCAGTCTCTCAGAAGAAGCAGATTGGCACAAGTACTGCAATGCTGACTGAGTTAAGCTATTAACATATTCATTATTGGAAATAATTGTTTTTGCCATGCTGAAAGAAAGTTTCTGTAGGCAGCAGCAGTCTTCCACTGCCATTTGTCTGCAGTATTATCAGATTAGTCATTTCCAGGGAAGGTTTTTGTGGATTGTGGATTATTGTAGAAGATATTGATGATTTCACTGTTCCAGAATGCTCTGTAAGTAATTGTTTTTGAAACCTATCTTTTGTTTATTATTTAGTTGGTTATCAGCTATAATAAAAGCGTAGCAAATCTACAATGTAGCTATGTAGCTCTTGATTATTAGAAAAAGTAATTATTATTGCAGCATTGCATTCTGTTATGAACTTCTGTAGCCAGAAATGTTTTGGCATTAAATAAGCAATGATTTGTGTTGTAGCATAAGGATAGGTGGAGCCTGTACCACCATTATAAATATCCTCCTATGTATGGCAGTGTCTTCATGTAACTACAATGAATATGCAACATAATGAAGCTTTGGGATGCATCTGCAGAGTGGTATTAGAGATCAGCTTGAGTGTATAACTGTTGGTTATCTGTGAGTAAGATCCACTTTTACCTCAAACTGATGTAATGAGCTGTGACAACCTATTGAATACACAGCTCCAGTAGTGACTCACTGCTTGATTTTATTGGTAAGTCTGCACGCTGGCTGTTGCCTCTACTTTTGCTGAAATCCAGCATATTTTGTTTCCCTTGCAGTTCCACCCCCTTTTGTACCCAAACTGGAAACTGATGATGATGTGTCCAATTTCGATGAGCCGGAGAAAATCTCGCGCCCGGCGATCAAGGCACGGCCGCTGAATAAGTCAGGTTTTACAGGAGAGGATTTGCCATTTGTTGGATTATCCTTTAACAAGACATTGGCTGCACTCTCCTGCTCAGAGTAAGTACAATCTCCTAGTTAACACTTCCACCCTCAGTGTAATGCTTGTAGATCTGGAAAGGAATGTAACAGAGTCTGGCAGAGTGCTTAAAATGCCTGTGCAATATTTGCTTCGGAGCAGCTATCTTGTAAACACTAATCGGTTATAAAGACCTCTTTGTGAAAAGACGTTGTTTCATTTAAATTTCCAGGGAGCCCAAGTAGCAGTTAACTTGTAGAGAATTCTTGCTTGTTAGCTTAGCTTGGATTAAATTTCTTAAGTGCAATCAATTATTATTTTGAGTAGAGGCTGATGCTAGTGCCTGGTGTTTAGTTTCCATCTTTTGGGTCTTGCTGTTTGGTTGTTGTAGTGTGTGAATTAACTGCTTTACTGTTGTAAATCTTCACCCTTGTCAGGGTGGTCGAGTGGTCCAAGGTGCCAGACTCAATCCTTGCCTTACTGAAGTCTGAGAAACTCTGGTTCCTTTCTAGGGGCAAGTGTTCAAGTTGCACTCCAGAAACCAATCTGTGGTTGGGAAAAGATGCCTGGTTTCAGAATTTAGACAAACTAGTGCATGATGAGAAACAATTCAAAAAGATTAGGAGAGAATTTTTTTCAAAAAAGGGAAGGCTAAATGGAGCTATGAAATTAATTTATCCAGCACAAAACAAAATACTGAAACATTTTACATTCGCGCGCACACACAGTTAAAACAAAGGAATACTGTGATAGGAATGGGGCTATTAAGTGATACTCAGGATAGTGCCACAGGTAATAATAGGGAGATGGCAGAATAACCAGGGTGATATATCAAACTTGGGTGACATTGAGTGTTATGATGAGGTGGGTAACAATTGGCATGTTCAAACATTTTAAAAAAGGCCATGTATTGAATAGACAAAAGAAACTTAAGACAATAAAACTCCTGCTTCAGATGGATTTCAACTTCATGTTTTGAAAGAATCCAGAAAAAAGAGAGCAGAGGCATTTTTATACATACTTAATAATTTACTAGAAAAAGGTCAAGTGCTGGAGGGCTGGAAAATCGCCAAGATATTTGCTATATTCACTAAAAGAGGATAGAACCTGTTAAGCTGACCTGTTCATCCCTGAAAAGAAAAATAATGGATTCCTTATTCAAGGAGAGAATAGAAAACCTGTAGAAGTAAGATGTATCATAATGAATAGTCTGGATTTGTCAAGGAGAAATTGTGCTATGATGATCTTAGTGAATTTTTGAGGAGGTGCCGGAGCGTGTAGACAATACTAATGCAATAGATCTTTGTATCTGGATTTTCAAAAGCGCCATGGTAAAATAATTAATAACAGGGTAATGAATAAGGTTGGAGAATATAGAGTCAGGGACAAGTGGCAGAGTGGATTGCTAGCTCACTTCAAGACAAAGCAGAGAGTGGGAGTTAAAGGTAGCTATTCAGAGTGGCAGAAGGTGGGAAGTGGCAGTACAGAGACCACTGCATTTCACAATTTGCATAGGCGATTTGGAGCTTTTGATTCCAAAGTCTTTCTAAATTCGGGGTGATGGAAAGCCAATACTGGAAAGGACTACAGCAAGTTGCAGGAAGACCAAATGAACTTGCAAAATTGGCAAGTAATGGCAAATGAAGTTGAAAACACACAAGTGAGGTTGTACATTTTGGTATGAAGAATACGGCTGCCAGAAATGTGGAAGTTTAACTGAGGTAGAGGAGCTGAATAATATGAAAGTGCAAATACATCAGTCACTATAAGTTGTGCTACAGTTTAACAAGGCCATTTAAAAAACAAAAAATCAGATGCTACTTTATATTGCTAGAAGGTTAAAATTAAAAAGTAGGAAAGTTACACTAAAACTGTTTTGAACCTTGGTTGGACCAAATATTCTGGTGGCCAGAACGTAGGCACTATGCTTAAATAAAATAATATAGTGATGCTAGAAATGAGCAAAGGAGATCTACAAGCATAATACAAGAAATGTGTGGCTTACATACCTTGAAAGAATTGACAAAATTTAGCTGTTCGTTCTTTGAAAAAAAAGTCTGAAGGGTGACCTAATAGAGATATTTAATCTTGTAGAACATTTTTAATAGAGTGGATGCAGAGAGAATGTCACCTATTGAAAGGCAAATGTAGCAAAGGCCATAAGTGTATGAAGGTTGCCACGAGACCCAATAGTGAATTGAGGAGAAATCTCTTTACCTAATCAGCAGTGAGAATTTGGAAGTGACTGTTGCAGCAGTTGGTTGAAGTGAATAGCATTGATGGTTTTCAGGGAAAGTTAAAAACACATTTGAGGAAGCAAGAAAGAAACTTTTGTAATGGTATATGAAAATGAGGAAAGATGGGAGAATACTCAAGTGCAGCATAAAGACTGGCATGGACTGATTGGGCTGAATGGTCTGTTGATGCTACATATCCTTTTTATTTTAATTGTTCATGGGATGTGGGTATTACTGGCTTTATCCTCTTGCCCTTCGGTGGTGTTGCAGAGCTGGTTTCATGAACCTCTATGTAATTTTATGTATGTAATATTGTGTAACATTATCTATTGTGCACCTGTACCAAAGCTCTCCTCAATATCCTTTTTCTAAGGAGAATAAGCCCAGCTTCTCCAACCTAACCTTGTAGCTGAAAAATCTAACCTCTGAAGTATTCTAGTAAATCTCCTCAGCGTCGTCTTAGGACTCTTACACCCTTCTTAAAGTGTGTGATTACCGGGACTGGATGCAAAACTCTAGTTATGTTGTATCCAGAGTTTTTTAAAGGCTTAACATAACTTTCCCTCCTTCTCAGTACCTATATTTATGAAGCCTAAATAATCATACTATTCTAAGTATTCTATTGATATGTTCTGCTGCCTTTTGATCTATACACATTCCTGCACAGGTCCTGTAGACCCTGTGCGCTTTCTATGATTCTTCCATTTCACTAGTGACATTTAAATGCAACTAATAAATCTGGAAGTAAATGCTGGACTCTAATAATGGCAATGGGTGCAAAAACTTATCTGGCACACTAATATTCTTTTAGGGAAGGAAACCTGCTGTCCTTACCTGGTCTGGCCTAAATGTTAGTTTTTCCTTTGTTATGACGTAACTGGGAAGAGGATGACAAATGTGCCTGACTGACTGCTATCAAGACATGAATAATTCAGACCAGGTTGCATTAATAACAGAAAGTAACTGTCTACTTACTGTAACGACAGAAGGCAAAAGAAAGAAAGGATTTTTAATCTCATAATGTGCAACTCTTGCTATAACTCTTTAAAAACCCCAAATATACATGCACAGACAGATCAAAAATAAACAGCTGGACGCAATGAGTGGAAAAAGAATATATACAGAATAAACAAATTCTGAAGATTTCAAGTATAGTTTTAAAGTGTGGCTTAAATTGGCTCATACTGTTCTTTTTCAATTTTGAGATGGATGAAACATTGTCTGCAAAGTAATGACCGTTCTTGACTTCAATAATAGATTGGTAGACCTAAGAATTTTCTTGTTAGATTTTCTTTAAGGCTTTCTGAGTTTTCTGTCTTTTTCCCTGAGAGAGAGAGAGATGGATACTTTCAGTTTGCAGGATCTCGATGTTTTCTCTTTTATGCCCTGACACCTACAACTTTTAATACACTTATTGAACTGCAGTCAGATGGCTGTATCTGGCAGCATTTCCTTAACTCAAAAGACTCTGTTACTCAGTCTCCAATTCTACCTATTGCTGGTTTTTGTAATTGGAAGCCTGTGGCCAGTGGTGTGCCACAGGGTTCAGTGCTGGGACCCTTGCTGTTTGTTATGTAAATAACAAACCATTACATTGGATGTGAATGCAGAAGGTATAATTAGTAAATTTGCAGATGACATGAAAATTGGTGTTATTGTTGATACTGAGGAGGATGGTGTCAGGCTACAGTCTGATGCTGATCAGCTGGTAAATTGGGCAGAGCAAAGGCATATAGAGTTTAAACCTGACAAGTGCAAGGAGATGCATTTTGGGAGGTCTAATAAGTGATGGACATAATGAATGAGAGGGCCCTCATGAGTATTGACGAACAAAACGACCTTGGTTTACCAGACCATAGATCCCTGAACGTGTCAGCACAGGTAGACAGGATGGTGAAGAAGGCATATGGAACACTTACCTTCATTAGCCGGGGCAGAGAATATAGGAACAAGGAAATCTTGTTACAACCTTGTATATCATTGGTTAGGCCACAGATGGAATATTGTGTGTAGTTCTGGTTGCTAAACTATTAGAAGGACGTGATCGTGTGGGAGAACATGCTCCCGCCTTCTTCCTTGACCAGAGGCCTGAGCAATCCCCATCCACCACCACTCTCCTCCGCCTGGCTGAACTTGTTCTCTCACTGAACAACTTCTCCTTTAATTCATCTCACTTCTGCCAAGTCAGACGAGTGGCCATGACTCATCTGCCCCTCTTTATGGGGTGTGTGGAACAATCCTTGTTCCAGTCTTACACTGGCCCCCTCCCACAACTCTCTTTCTCAGTATGTCGACGACTGCTTCAGTGCCACTTCATGCTCCCGCCAGGACCTTAAACTTCATTCATTTTGGCTCCACTTTTCACCCCCTGTAACTTTCACATTGTCCATTTCTGACACTTCCCTTCCTTTCCTTGACCTCTCTGTCTTTGTTTTGGGGTATAAACTGTCCACTGCCATCCACTACAAAGCCACTGTCTCCAATCACTAACTTCACTACAGCTTGTGACACCCCACATCCTGCAAGGACTCCATTCCGTTCTCCCAGTCCCTTCGCTCAAACAGATATGACATTGGCAATGCCACCTTCCAAAACAGTGCTGCTGACATGGCTTGCTTCTCCCATGACTGTGGTTTTCCACACACTGTGGTTGACAGGGCCCTCAACTGCATCCGACCTATCACCCGTGCTTCTGCCCTTGCCCCTTCCCGTCACTCTCAACAGTGTGATTGGGTTCCCCTTGTGCTCACTTTTTTCTTCCCACCAGCCTCCACATTCAAAGGATCATTCTCCACCATTTCAGACGACTCCAGCAGAATGCCACCACCAAACACATCTTTCCCCTCACTCCCCCTGTCTGCATTTCGTAGGGATTGTTCCCTCTGGGGCACCCTAGTCTATTCCATGACTTTCAAGACCACCCCTCCTCTCCACGGCACCTCGCCATGTAACTGCAGAAGGTGCAATACCTGCCCCTTCACCACCTCCCTGCTCACCATCCAAGGGCCTAAACAGTCTTTCCAGATGAAGCAGAATTTCACCTGTACCTCCTGCGATCTTGTGTATTGCATTTGCTGCACCTAATGTGGCCTACTATGTATTTGAGAAACCAAGCACAGACTGGGTGACCACTTTGCAGAATATCTCTTGCCTGTGCGCAGCATAACCCCAACCTTCCAGTAGCCAGTCATTTTAACACAGCATCCTACATGTCTGTCCTTGGCATGTTGCAGTATTCCAGTGAATCACGCTGTAATCTGGAGGAACAACATCTCATCTTCAGACAAGGCATTTTACAGCTTTCTGGACTTAATATTGAGTTCAACACCAAGAAATTGTGAACGATTTCTTCCTTTTTTCTTTTAGCTTGTCATTATGTCCTCCTTCCCCCCCACCCCATCTCAGCTACTGTCCTTTCAGGTCTGGCAGGAGATACACCATTGTTCCGCCATTCTCACATTCTGATCATTTAATCTGAACTATCAACATCTTTTCTCCATCAACACCCTACACCCACTACCTCTGCCTCCCAGCTAAAGCATAAATGCTGTCCCCTCCACACTTCAGCTCTGATGAAGAGTTATCTAGATTGGAAATATTAGCTTGCTGTCTCTCCACGGATGTTGTCTAACTCGTTGTGATCACCAGCATTTGTTGTTTTCAGTACAGATTCCAGCATCTGCAGTAATTTGTTCCTACATTGGGTCTCTGGATTATTGGTCCAGTGACATTACTACTATGCCGCTGCCTCCCCAACCTCAAACTTAAGTGAGTTATATATCACCAATGAAACAGAATCTGCCAGTTTTATTGATGGTTGATGCACCCACCATCAAAACTAACTCTGAAAGTAAGCCTATTCTTGTTTCCAGGTCAGTGACATCGATGATGGACTCACCAGCCAAGACTAACTCTCTGGAAAAAAAACTGCTGTTAAAGAACAAAGAACTGCAGGAAACACAGGATACATGTCATAAGGTACATGTGCAACAAATCACATTTTCCTTCACTTGTTTGTCTGCAGGTTGCAGAGAAAAGGGTCCCAGATTTTCCCAGCTGATCAATTTCCCAGATGAATATCATTGCCTCTTCATTTTTACCTTCCTTTCTTGTAGCTATCTATTTGAAATTTGCCATATTCTTTACCACAGTATTGGACATTGCTCAGATCTTTTGAACGTGATGTCACAGTTATGTATATTTTGTGAGCATTGTTTTGTAGAAGCAGAGAGAAGTTTCTTGGATCACATTTGAACAGGTATGTGTTGCCTTATGCCCGGATTTGTTGATGAGCTCCGAAAGAACTGTGGATGCAGTAAATCAGGAACACAGAAGTTGTTGGAAGAGCTCAGTAGGTCTGGCAGCATCTGTGAAGAAAAATCAGTTAACATTTCGGGTCCGGTCACCCGTCCTCAGAACTGAAGAGCTCATTTGACGATGCGAGATGTAAAAATTTATGCAAAATGTGTGAATTCAATCGTATTTTCTTGCATTCGTATTTCTATATTCCAAATAGCTTGTGAGATGCTTACATTTATGGTTGTTTCAATCATGTCCAATGAAGGTGATCAAAGTATGGGTGCTTTGTGCCTTCATGCAGCATAACGTGGCAACTTTCAGGTTTTAACTGATAGTGGAGCATAAGGCGGTGACTGTCTGTCTGCCTGTTAAGGACAGGATTGAATTTTGATTTGATTTATTATTGTCATGTGTACCTAAGCACAATGAAAAGTTTTTTGTTTTGCGTGCAGTACAGGCAGATCATACCAAATAATATGCATAAGGGTAATAGAACAGAGTGAGAAACACAAAGTTATGGCTACAGAGATGGTGCACAAAGGGTGAGGTCAACATTAAATTTGAAGTTTCAGAGGTCCAGTCAGAAGACTAATGACAGTGGGGAAGAAGCTGTTCTTGAATCCGTTTGGCTGTGGGTTTAAGCTTTTGTACCATCTACCCGATGGAAGAGATTATAACCAGGGTGGGAAACATCTTTGATTGTATTGGCTGCCTTCCCAAGACAGCAGGAAGTATAGGTGGAGACAGTGGATGGAAAGTTGCCTTGTGTGATGGACTGGGCTGTGTTCACAACTCTGTGTAGTTTCTTACTGTCCTGAGCAGAGCAGTTGCCATACCAAGCCATGATGCATCTGGATAGAATGCTTTCTATGGTGCAACTCTAAAAATTGGTAAGGGTCCTTATGGACATTCTGGATTTCCTTAACCTCCTGAGGAAGGCATTGTTGTGCTTTCATGACTGATGTATCAACATGGGTGGACCAGGACAGATTGTTGGTTATCGTCACTTCTAAGAACTTGACGCTCTCGACCTTCTCTAGCTCACTCCATTGATGTAAATAGGGGCATGCCCTCCACCTCGCTTCCTGAAGTCAATGACCACCTCTTTAATTTTACTGACATTGAGGGAGAGATTATCTTTACACCATGCCATCAAGCACTCTATCTCTATATCTCTTTCCTGTATTCTGTCTCATTGCTTTCATCCTCTTTAAGCTCATGACGACAAAGTCTTATCTGATTTACTCCTTTTCCTTTTGGTCCTCTCTCTTAATGAGGTAGATTGAAGGTGTGTCCCCAAACCCTGGCTTCTGGATTCCAATTATTGTAATCAACACACAGCCAAAATTTTTAAGATGCAATCAACGATTGGGTTTAGTAGCCAAACATTGAAATATTAAATTAAAAAAATTGAAACACACTTGGGAAATTCAGGAAGATAAGAGAAGAGAGGAGATAGATTACACGTTTTTGGTAAAAGCAGAGGTAATAAAAACAAGGCGGTATCTGGTGCAAACATCACTTTCAGGTGGCGCAAGAGGGATCTTGCACTAAATCACAAAGTGACATCATGGAAGGAAATGCCACTGTTGACTGTGTGAAGAATGGAATTTGGGACTCGGGGACCTGAAACACTGTGATTCTGTACTAGGGTGAGGGACAACGTTAAGTATTTGATGGGGAAGGCACAGCAGCAGCAGCCCCCGGCATGGCACCTCCCGAGTTGGGAAGGCCTGGGGTTGGGTGGCGTGGTGGTGGCTGGAGAAGGCTGTGAAGTGAGCTCATGTTGGCTAAGGAGGGCTGGACGGTGGTACCTGAGAAGGTAGGCATGCCCACCGTTTCTGGACACACTTGCACTGTGCTGATATCACACAAAGGCTGGTGGTGACATGAGCGGCATACCTGCAGAAACTTCCTGTGAGCATCACAGTCCATATCCGCACTACCCTTTGGACATTCGTGATAGTCATTCTGTTTTCTAAAAGAATACAGTTCCTATCAGTTACAACATCATGGAGGTCCAATAATAGTTTGGTGAGCTGGGCTCAGTTGTTTTCCTCCTTGCAGGTAAATTTTAGGCTTCTTTCCAGCTAGCAATTTGGAGACAAGTGGAGGATCTGAGGCAGGCTGCCATCTTAGCCTGGCACTCTGCTCTCCCTCTGGAAGCTAACCAGCAACTGACTTAGAATCCTAAAATTATATACTTAAGCAATTAATCAATCTCCGATTTCAGTCATGTGACAAAGACAGGCATTTCTGAAGGCAGGACCCATCATAATGGGATAATTTTAGGTCTAAACAGGCATCGCCTTACCTCTCTTGTTAGAGTTTCCATTGTGAGGTGACTAAATAGCTATTATAACATTAGTGCTTATTTTAACAGAATGGATTTTGATTTCCTTTGCCCAGAGCTGGCTGGAAGTCGATGGTTCATCTCCAGCTCCTGCATATCACCTTTAGCTGGAATGTCTATACACTGCAAGGGGTTCAGATGTTTCTGGAAACGTGATCATTGGCAGCCATTTTGACTCCAGTAAGAAATGGCATTAACATCTGAAAATATGGGAGAGAATAGTTTTCTTTGGGATTTTTCTTCATGCCCTCCGACCACAACAAATGGTGTTGCCATCACTGAATACCTCAGTATTGACACTTGGGACAGGCTTGCCATTGAACCATAAACTTACCAAGTTGGCCATATAAAGGCTGGAAATTCTGTGGTGAGTAACTCATTACTTGATTCCCCAAGGCCAGTCTGCTTTAATTTGGTACAAGTTGGATGTATGAAATGTTCTCCAACAAAATTCAACTCGACATCATCCAGTGTAATGATTCATCTCCTGCTCACCGTGTTAACTTCACTCCTTCTATAACTAACTCTGTAGTATCAATGTGCAGCATCTACCAGATACACTACAACAACTCACCAAGGTTTCTTTGACAGCACCTTGCAACTGCACAACCTCTGCCATCTAGGAGAATCCTGGAAATAGTGGGTTTCTATCCAAGCCCTATATCATCTGGACTTGTAAATTTTTAAGATATGTTTTATTTATTCATAGCATGTGAGTGTCATGGCTCGGCCAGCATTTGTTGCCTAACCTAGTTGCCCTTGAAGGTGAACTACTTTCTTGCAGTCCATTTGATGTTGGTACACCCACAGTGCCGTTAGGGTTTTGACTTAGTGGCACTGAAGGAACAGAGATGAGTTTTCAAGTCAGGATGGTGAGTGGCTTGTGGGGAAACTTGAAGGTGGCGATTTTCCCACGTATCTGCTGTCCTTGTCCTTCGAGATGGAAGTGGTCTTGTGTTAGAAAGTGCTGTCAGGGGATCTTGTGTGAATTTCTGCAGTGCATCTTGTCAAAAGTACACACCTCGGCTAATGAGCGGGAGTGGATGTTTGTAGTGTGGTGCCAATCAAGCAGCTGCTTTATATTGAATGGTGTGAAGCTTCTTGACTGTGGCTGGAGCTCCATCAGGCAAGTGGGGAGTATTCCATCACACTTCTGACTTGTGCCTTGTAGATGATGGACGGGCTTTGGGAAGTCAAGAGTGGAGTTACTTGCTGCAGATTTGCTAGCTTCTGATCTGCTCTTGTAATCACAGTATTGATATGGCTGGTCCAGTTCAGTTTCTGGTCCATGCTAATGCCTAGGATGTTGGTAGTGGTGGGTAACACTATTGATCAAGGCAAATGTCAAGGGATGATGGTCAGATACTTTGTTTTTGGAGATAGCTATCATCTGTAATTTGTGTGGCATGAACGTTACTTGCTACTTTTCAGCCCAAGCCTGGATATTGTCTAGGTCTGGCTGCATTTGAAAATGGACTGTTTCAACATCTGCAGAGTCATGAATGGTGCTGAACATTGTGCAATCATTGGCAAACATCCCCACCTTATGATAGAAGGAAGATAATTGATGCAATAGCTGGAGATGGTTAGGTTCAAGAGTCTACCCAAGAAGTTTGTGTAGAACTGTACTGGAGCTGAGATGACTGACCTCCAACAACTGTAACCATTTTCCTTTCGTGCCAGGTATGACTCTAACCAGCAGAGAGCTTTCCCCCAATTCCCATTGATTCCAGTTGTGCCAGGATGCTTGATGCCATACTTGAGTCAAATGCAGCCTTGATGTCAAGGGCTGTTGAATTATTCAAGAGATGCAGGAGAATCACTTCACATTTATGGCACAGAAGATGATGTGTGCAATGATACTGCCAATGAATACTGTTTGGTGAAAAGGTTGATCTATCCGATGCTTGTAAGAGCAGGTTTTGTCTTCCGAACTAAATGTGTCACAGCAGCAACTGATAATTATGACTATTTGCACCTTTTTATTGCATTCTCTGTGAAGTAGTATTCTTTTCTATACTGTGATTCCAGAGTAATGAGGAATGAGTGATAAAAGCAGTTCTCGTCAGCAGCACTCAGATCCCATTAGTGAATAAAAAAAACTGAGTGGAATTATATAAATTAGTATTTAAGACTTTTTTGTTTCTGAATTTGATACATTAAATTGTGTAAAGTAAATTTGTGTTTCCAGGGAGGTTATTTTATAAATAATAAAAATTATTTTGGCTCCTTTCTGTGCTAATTTTTGGCATGGATTTGGTATCACAGCCTTTGGCCTGGAGTAGGAGAATGATTTACAGGCTGATTTAGAAACCTGATTCAGCAG